GTAAGATTAGATTAGTTATCATTCTTTGCTATTTAAGTTAATAAGATTAGGTAAAATTGTATTTTGTGTTAACGGTAACCAGAATTCCATATTTTAAGTCTTTGTTTAGCCTTAATAGACTATAATTTAGAATAGTCTGCGAGGTTATACTCACTCTTAACAGTAAGATACATTTATACGCTAGAAGTACGGCAATTTTTGCTTTCTTCCCAGGACATAAGCAATAGAGTAAATTATGCCAACAAGTAGAAGTGTACCGGTAGTTAAGTAAGCATTTGAGGTCTCCTGCTAATATATCACATTTATAATACTGAGTAAATGATTTGTCTATTAATATAATGATATGAACAAATCTTAAATAGATTCACTACTTCGAGTGATAAAATTTTACACTGATATCTTCAACATAGAGAAAACGATTTTGTTCACTGAAATTGTTGCCAAAATTTGCCTTCATAATGTTATTTACCTATACTTAGCTAATTGCAATTTCCCTATGTATGCGATGTTGTAGTTAGGAGTTTTTATTCGTTTTGCAAAAAATTCTACATCTATGATACATTTCTTGGCCTTTAAAATTGTTGTAGTGACGATTGTAAGGTTCGCCAATTGTATCGTTAAAGCTAATAATGAGTGCATTTAGTTTTTGAAGAATCAACAACTATATTACCGGAGGACTATAATTGTTATTAGTTTAAATCCCCACGAGACTGTTTTTTATTGACACTCAAATTATATTGGATAATAAATATATAATGATCTTTATTATGAAAATCTCTTCGACCATCCTGCCGAGCAAGCCATTTGTATAGAATTATACTGTATTAATTTTATCTTCGATTTTAAAATCAATCGCTACCTTTGGATTGTTTCTGATTATAATTATTGCCTTATTTATTCTAGAGATACTAGTAGAAGACTTACCAAGTACAGATTATTGAGGATTGAACTCGAATTCGTCCGCCGATATCAACGAGTTTACCTTTCAATCAGGTAAGAATAACAATTTTGGATTTTTTTCACGTGTTTTGCATTCCTGGAAATACGAGCTTATATGATACTTATTATTCATATCCATCTTCGATTTGATGCCAGTTTCACATGCCCTTCTTAGTTAGTTATGTCATCAATAAAACTGATTAATGAACTTAATTTAAGTTAGTGACTTCAACGTAGATACGAATATATATTTATTTCGTTGAATGAGTTAGTTGTAGTATTTTACGAAGACATCATTTTATATTGTCTGCTGTGGTAGTGTTTAAAGTTTACTTTATTTTAATAAAAGCACTTCTAGAACGACTTAACTAATAACCTAAGTAAAATTCGTCGTTTTTTTTTAATCTCACTTCATCTGCACTTGAGCAAATCCTATATTTTCAATAGTACTACAGTTTTTTTACTAATAATTTCTTAATAATTCTTCCTTTATCATGAAAATCTTGTCGTTGGAGTTAGTAGAAACTTAAAATTAATTTCACCGTTTAATAGTCGTTTGTAAATTGTTTCAGTGGCATTGCAACTTTATAGAGATCAACTAATTTCTTTCTCTGATGACTTTGCTTTAAACTCATTTAAGTGCTTACGATATCTATTATACCTTTGTCTATCATACTATTCATTATTAATCGTAAGAATTTTCTAGGATAAAAATTTCTTTCCATCATAGCCCCAAGCAATTTCAGTCATCGCTTTTGATTTTGTAAAGAGAAAGATTTTATTACTAGAATGCATTCCAAGCAATATCTAGATTACAAGGTCTTATAAATAAAAGATACTAGTGAAATTATCTTTCAAAATATTTTTTGTTATTACCACAACAAAATTTAGGCTTATCTTTATAAATTATATAATTTTACTTCCGTAATATGAATAAACAATTATTTACTTGAAGCAGTTGAAAAGCCTAGATATTCGGTTTCAAGTTAAATACTATAGGTAGTTACTTTGATATTCATTCTGAACTAAATTTGATATTGCTACCAACATTCTTTTAATATATTCAGCCACAACATCTTATAGCTAGTTATATATAATTTGATAATTACTAGAACTACTCGTCTGGTGATCTAATTAATGGATGGTAGCCCTCTGCTATCATCGTATTTATACCATCAATTGTTATCCTCTATCTAAAATTGAAGTCCACGTAATGGATCAATTTCTTAACGTGATTCAACATAGTTCATAATTTACACCAACTAATAATTTTATAAATCTATGACATACTTGTACTTCAACGCTGAAAAAAATCATATTCCTAATATGTATATTATAATTAACACATTTCTAAAGCATCATAAAAACGCGATTTAATACCCATCCGCGATAAAACAGTGTGATATATACCAATCACGAATTCCAAATTTTAGAAAAATAAGGGCTTTTATTGAATCTTATACAAAGATTAACTACACAGCTCTACTATAGCCGAATACTACTACTAAAGACTTCTAGAACAAACTAACAGAATAATCTAAAGTTGCATGCTTTTATACTTTCCGTAGCATTCGCAGCTACAATCCGCATGGCAACCTTTTACCTTATTTTACACATAGTTAAATTATTCTTAGTAAGACTATTCTACTGCGGACCATCATTAATCCAATAGGGATACGACTACAGTACTTACGTAGACATTATTCACACCAGCCAAAGTACAATGAATTAACCATATCCTAATATATGATTTACAGTTCTATTTTTACCTATAGCCATATTAGTAACTCAACAGCTTACTGTATATAGTCATCTGTACTCTAGCATAGAGTCTCTACCACTACAGTCTATAGTTACAGCTACCAAATATCTCTTAGGATAAATATCTACCGTACATTATACTACACATGGCTAACAGTCTATAATCACAATACTAAGTTACATTACAAACAGGTAAGGAACTCAATCTCACATATCTTAAACTAGCACTTGACACTTTTCTTAGTACTTAGCTAAAGCTATGTAAACCGGAAAGTCACAAGATACAGCTATAAAGTAATCTTTTAGTGTACTTATTTTGCAAAGGCTGATAGCTACGTATAAGATGTGATCGAACTCATTGAGGCGAGTTAAATAATTAATAAGCAACGCATTTTATTTAATCGCCAATCAATATTACATCTGATACAATACATATAGATTGCTAAAGCTCTGTAACTTTGTCGACATACACTTGTAACCTATATTATTAGCTATCATCACAATTTCAGTTAAAGTAACTGCGCTTCATCTTCTTTCACATCTCCTTTGCGTGTATATAAAGTTATAGCAATTTAGTCAATCATCGATAATTACGTTTAGCGATGCCTTTAACTGATAGGCTAAATAGATGTATTGCTATTGTTCATTTTGGGAATTACTCTAATTCAGGAACTTTATTATCATTATTAATAAATTTTAAGTATATTATCTGGCACATAGCTATTATGATATTTTGGAAGATTTGGAGTTCATCATGACAACACGATATTGGAAAAGAATACTATAAGAAATGATATTATTAATAGCAATAGGTATTTAAAGAAACCTGTATTGGGTTACAGGGCAGATCAAAAATGTGATCTAGTCAAATAGATACGATGAAGTGGAGATAAATGGTTTAAATTGACCATGTTTGGTTACTAGAACTCAATAAATAAATAGATAGTTACGAATTACTTTTATAATAATATGAAACGTACAGCTAAATAGAATTGTTTACATACTATAGGTGATGAAAGTACCGTAATTCTTAGTTAGGGTATGACTATGGTGCAATTAAACCCGATTACAAATAAAATTACGCAAGGTAGATTGTTAAATATAGAATACATCTATTGGAATAGCGTGGTAGGTCGTAATTATAATTGACAAAGTCGTATATAGACACGAAATATTTCAAGGCAGCGTTCCTAAAATTCATGTTTGATATCTGTAAACCAGATGTATAGCAATGAAATTCTTATTTATACTATTGATCTACTGTAATCTAAGAGTAATATGATCTAAATCTTAAATTAAAGTCTATAGCCAGTGATACAATGTTAGCAACTATGAATTTTAACGGTTTACAATGAATCAGCAAAGCGACGGGAGTTTGCACTAGTAATATATAATATATTCAAAGAATATTTAAATTTTTTAACCCTTTTCGGCCATTGATTGATTACGGTAATTGTCCATATGCCAACTTTAACGCTGATTGCATTAAAAAACCTATAAATAACACATTTAAAGATAATTCACATTTGGAATCCCATTTAAGCCATTGGCTATTTAATTTCCCGTGAGCTAAATTTGATGCAGATTGAAATAAATAGCCTAAAAATAACGTATTTTCTAGCCTTCGTGCATACCATAGTAAATGCAAGGAAATACGTATGATAATGTATCTGCATCTATTTTCTATTAATAAGGAGTCGTATGTATTTAGTTTGTTTACGCCATTTCTGGCAATAATCTCAATCGAAATTAATGGACTAAGAAGAGAGGAAAACTGTTATCATAAAAGCTAACATCAATCTATGTTACTATAATAGGAATATTCGGTACTCTACCTAGCAAGTTGATGTATCGTTTAATTCAAAATTGCGTTGTATTAGCGCCCGGCCTATCTTAAAAGTAAAAAATACGTAAAAAAAAAATTACTCGTAGAGTTATATATTACCTATAACTTACGGTATAAAAAGAAAGTGTCATGCCTATGATAATTTGTTATCGGTCACCTTAGCATTTTCTTATTCGCATTATTTGTGTATCCAACTGTATTACGTAGCTTTTAGCTGTGTTAATATTCTATTAAATTATTGATAAATCCTTGAGCGCATTTTAAATTTTGATTATTGATACTGGGCATCAGTGCTCTAAGTAAACTAGGATTTCATCTTTGCTTAATCTGTGATCTTACTTATCAGTCCTGGTTTCAAAATCAAAGGCTGACAATAATTTAGAACTTGTAGAGGCAGTTTATAAATTTTTCCATAACTATGATTACTATTGTATTCAGATCAATGGGGACAAATATGACTAAAATCGATAGTGAGAACCATGTCAAAAGTAAAAATGTTGTAACTGGCAATGATATCAAATCTTACTTAAATTATCAAGAACGCCAAGCAATTATTGATTCCTGGAATGCAATCTCTACAGAAAAGCAAAAATATGGAACTATCTTATTCTTAAAGTAAGTACAATTGAAATCCTATCTTATTCCACGTCTTTGTTATCCAATTGGAATTTAATTTATAAGAGAGAAAATACAAATTCCTTGTAGATATCTTTAACCGTTTTTAATAAATTGAATTTGATGATTGATGTTACAGTTTATAAAACTAATAAAATTTTGTAATGCCTTTTGTTGAGCATTCTATTAGTATTAATACGATACAATATTAGATTTAATCCGCTTGAAAACTCTTCTTCTTTCCATAATAGTTAGATGTTACTTATACTAGGCATTTTAATGAATCTTATTACTGCTATTAATAGTTATTATTACTTTAAAGCCATGACTCAATATTGCAAAAAAGAGGGACAGATATTTTAGTAACTTATTTGAAAATTTTAATTATGATTTTACCGCTACCTGTGCAAGTATTTTATGCGATATCTTATTATTTCCAACTTTTAAATTGTTCTTTATATCCTGTCATTTTTCCACGTCTAACATTATAATAATTAATTTTGGATTTAGACTATTTGAATTAGAACCTAGAGTTAAAAGCCTCTTTACCATCTTCGATTTCAATGAACCGCTGGAAGATATTATACAATCGCCTCATTTCCGTAGCCATGCCATGCGATTTATGCAATCCTTGGAAACTGGAGTTTTAATGGGCTTTGATAAAGAAAGTTGTGATTTTTTATTTAAGTCTCTAGGAAGTCGCCATCACTTTTACGATCTTAAAAGTGAATTTCTAGATGTAAGCTAGTTATCATCATTTTAATGAGCTAATTAATCCCGAAAGTTTTATTATCAAATTGCGGATCGAAATGATACGAAAAATTCAATTATTTTTATGACTTCGTTAGGTTATTCCCGAGTGTATCTTGCACACAATAAAGAAAGGTTGCGGTAATAACTGGAGTAACGAAACTGCTGATGCATGGAAAATTGCAACTAAAGTTTTATGCGAGCTATTTCGGGAAGGACTAGAAACTAAGCCTAAGAAATAGATTGAATAAATAATTTGTTGAAGCTTGTTCATGTGAATATATTCCAGCTAAATAGACTCCATAAGCTGCGGAAAATTTTCTACTTGCGATCCAATGTTTGTGGTATTGAATCTCTAAGGTTTGGTTTGTAATAAATCGATATTTCCAACAATTCATAGTCATTATACATTCCATGTCATAATTACGTTGTTGTAGTAATTATTTTTATTAATTGTAATGATTAGATAAAATTAGAAATATCATAAGTTACATTTAATAATATCGCCAATAAAACAGAACATTATATAATAAGATTGTAACTGGGATATAATAAAAGTAATAAAATTGACAATAACGTAATTTATTTCGGAAAGCATATAGAATAAGAAAAATGAAGTGGCTTAAGAATCAGCCATGGAATGTAAATTTTATATCACTGATAATTTAACACTGCAAGTCTATACTCGAACGATGTCAGTAATCGAAATCACTAAAGAAATTAGCAAGGAGATAACGTCGGATATTTTAGCAATTTGGTCAATTTTTATTAGAACTTAATTTTACTAGATAAAGATATTATCCTGTAGATTGTACTGATCTATTTAAATGTAGAACATTTAGCTATCAAATTAAGCTAGATAGATGATACTAATCCCATCAAATAAGGCGATATTTGAAGGAAACATTAATCCTTGTTTGAATCTACGCATGTAATATTGCGAACAATTCAAAATATTGAAAGTGGTGTTAAGGGAACAACAAAAGTCAGTTAATGGTAGTTCATGATTTCTAAATGTTCAGATAGATTACATCCAGAATCAATTGAATTAATTAAGAACATATCTACCTCCTATATACCATAATCAAACTTATCAGAGCACATCTAGAGAAATAATGGAGTAATAACTGGCTAACAATATCTATTAATTACAAGGCGTTACCTACTTATTATTAGCGTTAATTCACGAAATCAGAATTCATTTAGAAACAAATTAAGAATAACAAGTGGCTTAATTTGCCAATAAAAAAATTTTATCCATTTAAAATAGTCTGAAATCTTAAGGAATTAATAATGTTATATAGAATGTAATAAATTATACGGGAATCTCGCTGTTAATCACTATGGCCTAACTTTCTTAGAATCCCGTATATTACATAGTATGCTGAGATTTTATTCAACTAATTCCTGGAAATGTTGAAGTAATACTTGTAAATAATCCAAAAATTTAAAGGAATCGATTTGAGAAGCCAGATGTATTAATCTTTTCTTGCAAAATTATGCCAATACTCTCATCTCATGTAGACTAGCTTCTCCTTTACAAAGATATTGCAATCTTGCCATGCTGATGTTCGGATAAGCTAAATTTTGGTGAGATTCTTTAAAGTCCATTTCAATTTGAGATTTTTCGGCTATAATAACTGCCTGTAGGAAACATAATAATTATTTCCGAATAGATTCAGACAAGTAAACATTATAATAGCTGGTTGCATCTTCTTTTACCTACTATGATTAGCTGAAATTACCAGACAATGTTGCAATCTATGAATAACGATAAGGATTGGAGCCATTTCATCTGATAGCTTTCACGAATAGAAGCAGTATAAAGCTGTTCAGTTTTCTTGGTTATAACGTGTATATTTAGAGTTGTAAAAAAAAATTAAGCAATTATTACTAAAGAACAACGTAATAGCAATTACAGATCCATTACTGCTCTTTTGCTAAGATTAATGCCAAAATGAAAGCTATTTATATTAACCATTCCATTTTCTCTGGATCTTGTAACTTTATTGTTGTTGATTCTACTTGTTACTTGCTACAAATTAAACGTATATATATATTATAAAATGGGACTTTTTACCTTAAATTGGAAATAGGAAAATGTTTGATCAATTTGCTTATCCTAGTTACGAGGATATGATTGATAATAAAAGTTTAAAAAATTTTTAGCTTGACAGCAAAGATCAGATTTGTAGTGAGAAGAAATCACCTCGGTCGGATACTTTTAGAATACTTTAAACTGATGCTGATATACAGATCAAATCTTACATAACGTTAAGTATGCATTTCGCTAAAGAAAGCGAGTAATCGCTGACTTTCATAACATTATTTGAATTTGGCCGTTTAATATTGAATGAATTTTAAGGATACCATTAAATGGCATTGAGATATCGGGATAATTTAAACAGAGTAAGATTTAAATTGGATGTATAACTAGTTTTTATATTCATCTTGTCCATAAGTGCTTTGAATGTCTTACTTCAAACAGGGAATTTTCTTCGAATACTTTATAATAGTAATATCCATCCATGCAGAAGGGGAGGGCAATATCAATTTATGAAATAGGGATTACGGTATTGACTGAGCCAAAATCGGAAGTAAAACTGAATGAATTCTTCTTTCGAAATTACAAAATCAATAGCCTATTAAATATTAAATCTTTTAATTAGAATGAGAAGCACCAGCATATTCTAGGTAGTTCCTATCATACCTGTTTAATATTAATTTGCAGTGACAAGCTCTTAGAAGGGAAGTAATGGGGCTGTCAGATATTTTACGGGATAAATAATAGCTTACAAATTGGATTGGATTGAAAGATTTTGCAATAGCGAGGATTCAAATTAAAGCTAATTCAAATGCAAAGAGTTAGAATCGATAGCTTTCAGTTTCAGCAGCATTTGAGTTGGTTTCGACAAGACTTGAATTATTAGGTCCTAATTTAATGTGTGTTGTGCTAAAGCTGTTGTTTTGCCTAGTGTACTGTTGGACGCGTTTGCAGCAGCAAATTTTCTTGACCACACATTTAATGTCACGCTTAAAGACAACATATAATATTGGATTGATGGCTGAATTTCCCATTACGACCATTGCTGTGAAAGCGTTTATAACTAAAGGAGTTCTGCCTAACCAGCGATTCACTAGCATAACTATCGTGAAAGGCAGCCAGCATAGAACAAATGCTCCAACGATGATAGCAGTTGCTTTAGCTGCTTTCGATTCTCGTTGTTCGCTATTACAACGAGATTTTTTCATGGATTTCCGACTACTGATGGAGCTTGCTCGGCTGTCTCGTCGTATTTTCTTAGCATGAGCAGCTGCAATGCTGAAGATGGTGCCGTAAATGTAAATAAATAAAAGAATGGGGATAAAACAAACAATACATAGTGCTACAGTCATGTAGATTTTATCATGCAACAAACCAGTGCCGTAAGCGAGTTTATCGCAAAATAATATCGGATTTGTGGTCCATGTAAATTGTGTTGAAGCGCATATACCAGCAATTGTCCATGAAAGAATTTCTCCGATAACTGCTCGTTGTTTAGTCACTATTTGGCGATAGAAGTACGGATTTGTGATGGCGAAAAATCGATCTAAACTCACGCAGCAAAGTGATAGACTGGATGCTGAAGGTAGAAAGGCTGATAGAAACCATTCAACGATACACCAGCGAGAATCCGTCAAGCGATGAACACTTGTAATAACAGCATAAATGGTAAATGGCATTACTAATGCTCCGACAAGAATATCGGCTGCGGCCACGTTGATGATGAAAAAATTAGTAATAGTTCGTAACTGATGATGCTTGATAATGACGATGACAACAAATAAATTACCGAAAACGGAAACTACCATAACAGTGAAGAAGTACAACAGTAAAATTAATTGCTCATATATGGTATAAATTTTGACATTGCCAGGGGTTGTAGGTAAAATAGAAGTGGAATTCACACTATCATTGCTGACTACTAGGCTTAGATTGTCCATAGTGGGATAGGATGAAGTTTATTTGGATAAGATGAAAAATTTTCTATTTGCAGTTGATTGATTTCTAGTTCAATTGCGATCTTCAAGCAGTTGTTGAAATGATCAATTTGACTTAGTTTTAATTTACAAATTTAGATAATTTTCAGCGAAGGGAACTATCGAATCTAGAATTTAAAAATAAAAGGATTTAAAGGAGATTAAGTTTTATACGTCGATATTAACAATATAAGAAGACGTCATGCTGTATGGTCACAGTAAATTCATTTAAGTATCAAGAATTGATTCTAGCGAGCAAGCCTAACACAGAATCAGGAATAATTTTATCAATAGCTAAATTGATCACAATAAATCGGGGAAAGTTTCACTATAAGTCCCGATAGACTTTGCATTTAATTGCTAAATCACAGCATTGTCATATCTTTGATAATATGTATACGTTGGAAATTACTTTGGAAAATATAGATTTAATATAACGCTTTAGTAGAAATTATCCCCGAAATAGAGAATATCGTTACACTATAGGTATTATTGTAGTAAGGTACAAATTATTTGAATAAGATGGCCAGGCAAAATCGGGTTCTACTAAATTAGCGAACTTATTTATCGTTCATAAAATAATGTTAAAGCATATCGGATAATGGTGAAAATCTTACTAGACCGTACAATCTACTGTAAATCGGAAGTAGCTCACTTGTACATCTTATACATTTCGATATAGAAAGTCTTCAGAAAAAATTGTTTATTAAAAATTGAGTGTAAATTTCAAATCAGAAATAGTTTACCTATACGTAGACAACGGTTACGAAGAATTCGGAGAACGGATTGCATTTTAGATTTGAAGGATTTGATTATATCAAATTGACATCAAAAATTTATATATAACTGCTGGAACATTTGTAAAACAATACATAGGGGTATTTAATTTATTAATAATTAATTTATTATTCTTATCCATTGTACAAAGAAAGTAACGATGATATTGCACGTAACTAAGAATTGATAAATTAAATTATGATATTAATAAATTTGTCAGAAAATAGCGAATGAAATAGGTTTGATACTGTTATTATTGATTGATTGATACATAAATAACTAAATTAGCTACATCTTGTCATCAATAGAACAAAATAATTAAACTATCATAAACAAGATGTTCACTATTGCCGTCAATACTAAAGCAAATGACGTAAATTTTCAATGTCATCATGGATATCTGAGTTGTCACTGGATCAAATTGAAATAGAAATGAAGATATGTTTTGAAAATAATTTTGCTCTGCATATTGACTCTATTCTTCCTATAGTCTTAATGTTACCCTGTTCATTTGAGTTACTATGTACAGTAAGAAATAACAGGCAGGCATGAATCAAAGAAACATTTTCGGAATAGCATCATTATTATTTCACTTTCTTCACAAAGCTAGTTATGAAACTAATTGAAAGGGTTCAATTTTAAGTGGCTCCAATATATTTAATTTAGCCGTAAGAATTAATTGGTTCAGTCCAAATGCTTATATTCAGATTATCATCGATTAGATGATTGATTATTCCTGACCATATTAGAGAGATCCAGCTACATATGCTTCGGATAGAATTTATGGCGAATACAGGAAATTATGATATGATTTAAAATTCTCGTCTTCTATATTTAACAATATTGTACGATTTTTGACGTAAAAACTGAAATCAGTGCCGGATGTATAATGTCTGAAACGCCGATAATCAGAATCAACAATTCAATAAAAGATATCCTGACTGTGTCAAGGGCTAATTTAGATATTGATCGTAGACAATCTTGAGAGAACCCTGATTTTCAATGCTAGTACATGTTATTGTTATTGTTGCATTATTGTAACTAAGGACTACCTATAAAAATATTACCAATATGATGGTTGCATACGTATGTCATGACATCATGCAGATTGCTAAAATTAGTGAATGAAATCAAACTTATTTCTTACGTATTCGTCAAATTACCAGTACTGTAAATAAAAATACTTGTGGGTTTACCGTACTTTTAATTATTTTTAGTACTTAGTTTGCTAGCCATTGGCAGATAGATAATATGATATGAAATAAATCTTCTTGAACAATTGGCCTTATAATGTTCAACAGCAGACTAAGGATGTGAATTTTAAAGTGAAGCGCCACTTACAAATTGAATTAACATACTTTGGCCTAAGCCATAGGATGAGTAAAAACTTATCAATAGAGTGTGATAAACCTATATACAAGCAGATTATGGCATTGAACTTGCATCGATACTCCTGGTACTAAAACATTTAGTGTATCATATAAGTGAAATAGCCAATAAAGTCTAATTCATGCTATTCTCCCAGTGATCAGTATTTCACAACTTACTCTCTCGCTCATTTAAAAACAATAAAACTCTATCGCTTTAAATAGAAATTATAATCTAGTTTGAGATGTAAAAGTATAAAATTAATCTCCAAACATTATTAACGACTCCTGTCTTAATATGTAAAAACATGGCGCGATTGATTCTGTCTGAGTACGAAATACACAATTAACAATAAGCTAAATAAGGGTAAAATAGGCATTTTTGAAAGGTCTGTACAATAGTAGTATTAATATATATCATTAATAGGTCTTCAATATTTGTACTCTGGTAATAAAGGTCATTAGATAGGAGTAAATGAAATGAATAGCTTATTATAAACAAGACTAGAAAAGCAACAAAAACGATCAAGGATGGATAAATATTGCAAATGTAGCTGTGTGTAATATGAGAGACAAGATTCTTTAATTGAGAATATATCAATAGCATTGGCTGGTAGTGAACAAGAGAGCATTCCTTATTCTAAATCCATGGAAAGTAAAATAATTATTGCACTCTACATACTAAAGGAAGTTCTGTCTTAAGGTCTGTCAATAGAAATCTAGTGAGATGCTACGGACAAATATTAAGGCGAAAATAAATCTGTCCTATGGAAAGTTCAAATTTCCTAACAGGCTTATTCACTTTTATGCTAATTATCACCTTTAGCTTGACCGTAGAAGGGATAAGAATAATCTTCATGAGAGAAGAAGCATTGATGATAATTTAATCAATGTTCATGTAACTTCAAAATCCGTTTCATTGGAGCTGTCGCACTGCCCAAGTCTTACGCTAGTGCTAAGTGTTAAGTAGTGGTTCCGAAAGAATTGGTGATTAGATAGACACGGTTAGACATGACGATTTGATGACTCAAAGTAAAAAACATCAATTCAAATTCATGTCTATTCATGCATATTAAACAATAGTTCTGCCGTGTTCTTCCTTTTAATAAGATTGAATTAATTGAATAAAAATATATTTAATACAAACGATGAATGCATAAAAAGACAGAAAATCAACAAAAATAAGCTTCAGTAGGACTTTCAGTCAACTTCCAATGGCTGTAATGACGTCTTATTTAATCAATTTCAAGTAAATGAGAAACTAAATCAACATCAATAAGCAAAGGAATGATTTTACGTCTTATTTTATCATCATCCCCACAATATGAATAGAAATGGACAGTTCGTAGGCTGAATAAGAGGATAAATGAAGATAAGTGAAGTGACAGTTGATAAATTGAAATACTAAACATTTGATCTGTTTACTTGTATCGAAATGTTGTTCATCATGTAATATTTTCGATGATGAAATGAATAAAATCAATAAAAATAACTATTGTAGGGACGGAATGGAATGTCATTTGATAGAATAGACCAGTTATTGCGAAGTTACATTGGACTTTAGGCATTTTTAATTTATAGACTACATGTGCCAATGTTGATCTACTCGTTCCTATAATTGACCACTCGACATCAAAATCTTACAACAATCCTATACATTGATAATAGTCCCAAGGTTACAGTATCCATCTTTGTATCTTTCATGTTATTTAAAATAATAAAGTCTAGTCATGTCGGCTAAGACTAGCTTTGCTTTGATAGCAAATGCAGTGATTTCTCCTTAATAAAAAAATAACAATTGCAACTGCATTGAATCGCAAGGAGCAGACACGCAAATACATACCATTGATTAAGCTAGTATTATTCCCCGTACATAAATGGGTTATTTTCCTATCCAATATTAATTGCGTAAATAACAAATGTCTTCTCGTTAATCGGATGGTCTAATTGATGAGAATATTTTCAATACCAGGTTATTCGTTACGGTAGCTGTGAATATGACTCATCAACAATAATTATTATTGGAATGAATGGCAGAATACTTTACCATCGATTGCACCTAACGGAAGTTAATTACAGCTAATAAACTGTTAAAATAATAGAGACAGCGGATAAATAATTTTGAAATCAAACTTATTAAATTATTAAATTCACTGATTTTCAGCCTCATTAAGAGCTGTCTCGTAAAAGAAAAACTAGATTAAAGATATAGTTACCTTTTTTCTTGCAATCCAGAATATCAGAAATTTTTCATTTTAGTCGGTTGTGATATACTCATAAGAGGAAATAGAAGTGGAGATAATTCAATTTTCGTCTTTTAATCGAAAACTCTATTAATAGATACGTGGGCTAAGTATTAGTACTATCCTGATTATTAAACGAATTGTAATGATATATATCAGAATCAGTAGCGATAATATTGAAATTCTCATTATGTCTGGGATCCTGTAGTGCTCATATATGACGAAAACACATTAGCCACTTGCTTGACAATCTGTCTCCTGGTCTAATTCCCGTAATTGAGGTCTATCAGAGGAAATTGTATTACTTTTATCAAGTATACACTACAAAGCGCTTCAGTGAAAATTTTTGATTTTAGCTTTGATCGAGTGTTTACGTTATCTCATTCATAGGCTTCAAAGTAGAGAAGAAAGTATTCCACATGGCGTCGTATAATTTTAAATTTTTTGCATGGTCTATCCATTTTCTATATTCACTTAGATTATGGTAGTAACTGTAAATCCTAAAATAATATACAATAAATTAAATTCGCGAAAACTTTCGATAAGAATTGATACATGGTAATGGGGCGTTTAATAG